TCACTGGTATGGCAGGACCAAGACCTGACACCAGACCAAGCAAAGGCAGGTCAATCACAGCACAGTTGCCGGCACACAGAATACACTCAATAGATGATAACTGCCCTCATCTTGGAGTAAGGTTCTCAGAGAGGGTGATGGTCTCTCCCAAAGCATATAGCACCATCTGTAAAACCTGAGCCCAAGTCTGAGGCATCAATTACTACACTAGTGGATCAACAATTCGGAGAGTGGGCACATGGCATCTATCACAGACCACGCAAAGGAGCTGTGTGAGCCCATGGGAAGTTGGTTAAGTAGAGCTGGTATAAAGCCCAGCCACTGTCCCTAGGCCCTTCCCATGCACAATCTTATGCAACCCCACAGAAGCTCTGGGAGGCGACCACTAACTGCTGCCTTTTGACAGCTGAGACAATAGAGCCCAGCCAGCTGTAGTGACAAACTCAAGAGGAGGACCATGAGGACTACAGGGCTAGCTGCAGTCCCCACTGCCCACTAGTGAGCACACAAAGTCCTTGCATCAACCATCCCAGCCATCCACACCCAGTAGTAACGGCTGAAGACCTGGAGTTGGGAGAGGAGTCATCCCAACTGAGAGAAACTGAGGCACAGAGGAGTGCCTGAGGCCTGGGCTGTGAGGAGGAGGAAGGGAAGGAAGGCAGGCTGCCTACTTAGGGCGGGGCCACCCCAGTTAATAATCCAGTTAATGATTTCTGCTTTGTCCTTATCAGGGAGGGCAAAGTCCAAGGGCAAGAGCCAATCAGCAGCCTAGCTTGGTGGTTACCCAGTAGCCTCTGCTGCCAGGGCCCCCCAGAGCGGTAACCCTTTGGGAGTTGCCTAAGCAGGTCTCTCAGAGAGATGCCACTCTACCCAGAGTGGTCTGTCCCCAAATGGCCTTCTTGGCTCTGCCTAAGACCTCAAGAAGGGCCTGCCCAGCACTCCCACACTGAGGAAAGGTTCAGGACCAAGGGGTTGACAACCAACTCTCTGGACCCCCTGATACAACCTCAGCCACTCCCAGAGAACGGCTTTCCATGACACATCCCCACCCAAGGCTCCTGTTACATATAGATGGACCGATCGATCATGGCGTCCACTGGCAGGGAGCATTTCCTGCCCGCCCTGTGTTGTGTGGATCTGTGATAGGTGTGGGGAGAGAGGGATGAGTCAGACCCCCATCTGTTCTCTCTTCCCTCCTACCTGGCTCAGGGCCTGAAGGGTGGGCCCAGACATCAGTTCACTACAAACTGGGGCTGGGAAATAAGTCCCCCCGGGGGTGGGGGGGGCGCTGTGAGTGGGTTCCAGGTGGGCCCAGGAGACCTTGTGTCTCCTCCCCAGGAAGGAGAATCTGAGGGATTAAGGAAATCTTGCATCTGGTGTCTCCCTAGCCACCTGCTCCTGGGTGCATCACCAGTGACAGAGAGGTGACACAGGCCATACAGCTACCCCCATCTCACAGCCCAGCTAGCAGATGTTGAGTTGTGGCCTCCCTCCTGAGTTGCCAGGTAGCCTCCACCGGAGACTCCTGCCCTCTGGAGGGGATGCAAGGATGTTGGCCCCAACTGGTTGCCCTTCCCACGAGGCCTTGATGACAGAGAAAGCTGGGGACTAAAGTTAGCCTAGACTACCCAGCTAACCTTGTGTCACAGAGCCTCAATTTTGACCCCTGGGAAATGGGTTAATTCTGGGCCTCCCTCCTCCCACCAAGCACTCTGTAGTCCACCTTCTTCAGCCCATCAGACACCATGAGTTTGGGTTTGTTGGGTGTCTAAAAATGATCCCATTAGAAGCTTCTACTCTGGCTCGACTAATTTATCCTAGCGGGAAAGCAAGCCAGAGGGGACAGTATCCGTTCAGGCTCACCCTCTGGTTCAGGAAAGGTGAGACTCAGGTCTCCTCCTCCAGCCCTGGGGGCTCCAAAGGCCAGTACCAGCCTCCAAACTCTCAGTGATCTGTTCAAAACCTGCTAGAGACCCAATTCCCTTCATTACCTAACCCCTCACCATGCTTTAGGGAACATCAGCTACAACAGGAGCCCCTGGAGTCACCACTAGCACTGCCCCTACCCAGAATCTCCCGTTCATACCGAAGGTTCATCAGCACTGAGGGTACCATGGACACCTCTGCCACTGACTCCTATGTTCCAGATGAGGATGAGGAAAAAGATCCCAGAGAGGTGACAGGCTCTGCCTGGGGTCACGCGGCTCTCGGTGACCCAGTATGAATTAGCCCTCTGAGGTCTTTGTCAAGTCCTCTGAACATGGTCCTCCTCCATCCCTGGACTCTAAGAGGTCAGGGCCCCCACCAATCAGATGAAGAGTAACACACCATCCCTATACCCAGTTACCTGCTGGAAGCCAATGCATCCTGCCCGGAGGGTCCACTCTCTACAAGCCTTGCGCCCTCCGCTCTGAACTGCTGGTACCTATCTCTAGGGGATTAACTGGGCAGTCACGGGGACCCAGCTGTACCAGCCTCGAGGGGGACGCTCTATCCCAGCCTCCCACCAAAGGCCCAAAGCGCCTTAGCCCCTAGTCTTATTCCCGGCCCACAGCAGGGCAGGACACGCTGCCTTACGTGCTGAGCTAGTGGGGGTCATAGTCGGAGAAGGGACTCTTCAAGATTGCCCCTTCAAGCGAGAGATGTTCTGTCTCTCAGCCCAGAACCCAAACCATAGAAATCTCTGCCCACTATGCAGAGGAAATGACTGAGGCCATGTGGGAATCTGGATGAGGTCTCAAGGGTCCCCATTGGAGTGTGAGAGCGTACACTATCACCAAGAATGACGTGTCAGCACCCATAAAATGAGGCTTTACACGTCCTGGATGGGCTTCACTCACACTTGAGCACACCGAAGCTCTGTGCTTGCTCCCCCAGGCCCTTTCGCCTCATAATGAGAACCTCCATCTCACCACCCAGTGGGTCCCCTGCCAAGGCCTTCCCCTCTCAGATAGCCCTAGAGGACTTGAACCAGGTGCCCACCCACCTATTTCCAGGCTCTGGGAGACTTCTGAAGCCTGGCCCTCCTGAGCAGGCCCCACACCCCGCCTGCTCCCCACAGACATTCTTGAGTCTCCTCTTATCTCTCTGGAGGGAGCAGCACAGCCTCCCTGCCAGGCGGCCGCATGGCTAAGCTGTGGCGTCAGCCTCCCACCCCCCTCCCCAGGCCAGGAGGGAAAGTTTGGCTCAGAAGTGTAGAGCCCAGGCCAATTAGGCCCGCCCCTGTGCCCAGAGCCAGGTGGGGGTAGGGTGGGGAAGGAAGTTTGGGAATACCTTCAGGAACCAAGGGGTCCCCGTTCATAGGTCATGAGAGCACCGAACAGGCACAAGACACCCCTGGTCAGTACCTGGACCCCATAAGGACTGCTGACTCCTCTCTCCTGGGGTTCCTGAGCACTCCCAATCCCTGCCCAGCATAGCGAAGAGAGCTCCTGGGATTGAGGGGTGCTGCCTGGCACCCTCAAATGGCCCAGCTGCCTCAATTATTGATGGCTGAATCTACAAACCTAGCATTTTGGGACCTCTTAGGATTCGTTCTGCCTGGGTGTTCAGAATCCTGGAGTGAAGGTGGCTGAGACGTGGGGCTGTCCTCTCCTGGGCTGCTCAGCAAGTAGGAGTGGACAAACGTTTGTTCTGTGGTTCTCCAAGTCACAGAAAGAAACAGAGACAGGGAAAGGTCTCTAGCCCTGGGGAAATCTCTCGAGAACTAGGCACTGAGCTTTAAACTTGGGTCTTGATTTCTATCCCGCAACTCAGTTCCAGCCTGGTACGTCCAGGACAACAGGTTCTGCTCCAGGAAGGTTGTTCCCGTACTTTGGGAGCAAGCTGTTAGCTTAGGGGCTAGCAAAAGTGTACGGCAGGAACTAGACTCCCATCATAGCGGGCATAGATACAGACAGGGCTCAAGAGCCTGGTCTCATCCTCCAGCGAGGGTCTGAGAAACTCAGCAGGCTGGGAGACGTCAGCCTGCACCTCCCCTCCCCCTCCCACACCAGTCCCTTTCCTCCTGAACCCAGCTCTCAGGGGGGAGGGGCAGTCCTGGAAGAGGGTCAGGAGCTGCCCAGAAAAAGCCCAGGCGGTATTTAGACTAGGAACAGACTCTAAAATCAATGCAGGGGTGAGGGGAAAAAAATTTAGAGGGGCGTGCATAGATCCCCCTGGAGAAGGGTCTTTTCAGGGGGACCAGGTCACTCCTGGTGCAGGGGAAACATTACTCCTGTGTCAGGTGTGAGGGACCCAGCCCTGAGGAGCCTCATGGGGCTGATGGGGTGAGTGCCATTTACAGCACTGTGAAGGTCTCCACGAGCAGAGGTAGCTGGTGGCAGAGATGCCAGCTTCAAGGGAGTTCCATACTAGGTAAGCACACTAAAGAGAGGGCCCTGCCCCAGGCAGGGAAGCAGTGGCTGCCTAAAGGAGAAATTCAGTCTCAGGGGAGGAAGCAGCATTGCCCAAGACAGGTGACAGTCCCAAAGGGCATCCCGATCTCCAAGGGTGTCTCAACCTTCAGGAAGCACAGTCAGGAGGTCCCAGCTTCCAGGGAGTAGGCGAGGCTCTGGGGTCCCAGTCTTAAGGGCTACGGGAAGTTCACAATAGATGGAGTTGGAGCCTGGCATGGATGGAGTAGCAGGGAAGTGGATACAGGATCTCCAGTCTGGAGAAGTGTGCTGAGGATTGGAGTGTCACCATTTAGTGGGACTACAGGACTTAAAGTCTCCAAGGAGGGTTTAGCACGGAAGGTAACCCACCCCTAAAGAAGCTGAGTATTGAAGGCAGACGGGAAGCCCAAGTCCAGCGAGCATGGGCAGATACCTCCTGGAGACTACCAATCTCGAAGCTATTTACCTCTCTGTTGCCAATTTGGAGTAGAGTCCCTACCCAAAGGAGGCCTTCTGGGGGTGCTTGCATGGTGGGAACCCCATGGGAGTCCTGTCCTCTGGGAGATCGGCTGGCATATCCCACTGTAGGAGGCTGGTCGCCCAGCCATCCTCACGGTCTCTCACCTTCGAAGAAGCGCTGCAGCGCTTCGGTCTCGTCCACCACCTCCATGGCCCGCCTGCCCGGCGTGTGCGCTCCAGCCGCAGCCCCGCTACAGCGTGGCCCGGGGGCGCGGCATCGC